AAGCCGAAGAGGCCCGGCAAACTGCCACGAAGAGGGTCACAACAAATGGCTTCTCATCCTCTGGATCATTTAAATGATTCCAGAGCATGGGAGGTCATTCTCGTTACTACTTTGTCACTATGCTCTTTTAGTATTTGTAGTTGTATTTTTTTTTCTTCTTCATCATCGTTCAACATCTTTTTGGGCAAATCGCGGTTTTCCTTGTTAGCGTTGCGAAAAATTAATTACGGTTTAAATTAGAGTTGCGAAGAAATGATAATCGTGTTTTTTTTAGAGTTGCGAATCATGATACCGCGATTGTTTTTTGCAATTTTGATTTAAATTTTTGTAGTCGTCTTACAATTAGTGCTATATATAGTAAAATTTATTTTGCTTCCTATTGTCTTAAATTAAATTATAGAGTCCTTGTTTTTAATTACTTTCATAGTGTTAGAATATTTGAGGTAGCTTTTTTTCGTACAATAACTTTTATAGTAATCTTCTGTTAGTAATAATTTTCATTCAGTTTGATTTTAGAGTTAGTGTTGCGACATTATTTCATCGCGATTTCCAATTACTTTTATTCTTATAGTGTTGCGACATTATTTCATCGCGATTTCCAATTACTTTTATTCTTATAGTGTTGCGACATTATTCCATCGCGATTTTCCTTTAATTGTTAGTGTTGCGATAATGAATGATCGCGTTTCGTTTATGAAGTAGCGTTTACGAAATGCCCAAATTCTTCCACTGGATTCGTGGAAGGCTGTTCCTGCTCCTAGATCACCTGATACAGCTACAAAAGCTGTACAGAGATGATCATTCATCAGCAACTTCCATCATGCACTGGTTGCACTGGACGCGTCGCAATTAGTGTTGCGTATTTCTAACACGAGTGCATAAATTGATAGCGTTGCGTGCTTACTTTCGGGAGTTTTAAATATGACGAAGCATTCTTCGCGTTTGATTTTGAAAATTTCCTGTTTTACAATTATGCTAGTGAATTAGTGTTGCGAAACAAAATACGGTTTGTTGTTCGGATTTATGTCGAATATAGATTTGACAATAGCCCTTCTGGTTATTGTATTGAATAGGAAATGTTCTTTTAATAGCTCTTCTGGCTACTGAATCGCGATTTCTTTTTCAGTGGCCCTTCTGGCTATTGTTTTAGATTTTCTTTGTCAGTAGCTCTTTTGGTTACTGTGTTAGGTTTTCTTTTTCAGCACTCCTTATCACTGCGTTTATATGTTTATATAGTAGAATGATTTCGGTTGGTTATCAGCTTCAAATTTCGGTATTGAAAATTTGGCAATACTTTAATGGATTTCAGAAATCATATTTCTGGCGCATTCATTACTCGATCAACTTCGATCGTTTTATTTGATGTAATTCTCCAATTCGCCGTTGTTTAAGAGTGGAGTGACTTTTTTATTATGCCAGAGTATGGGATATAAAATCTCATAAGATGCTTAGTCTGTTCATATATCTTGTCTGTGCCTGACCCCTTTAGCATTTTCATGTTCTACCATATCCTACCATATCGATTTAGGCAGGTTTTGCATCGCAGCGCTACTAGTAATAGGAATTAAAATCAAAAAATATGAATAATGTTGTTGTCAATGTTCACGTCATCGTATCGATATCAATTTCGATTTTCATCCCCTTCTTCATTCACCTTCTTCGTGACAGTAATTCTTTAGACATGTACAAGGAAAATTAGCAAGTAAAAATTTACAAAAAAAACTCGGTTCATCCTGATTTGTTAAAGGTGAACATTTTTCAAAATTTATATTAAAATTGGTTTTATTTAAAGTGGTATCAGGCAAGTAACCATCTTTCCTCTTCTCTACTAAATTAGTTAGAAAGAGCATAGACAAAATTGTCATAAAAATTTCAACAAATACTTCTTAAAAAGTAAAAAGGGAACTATCTTTTTAAATATTATAATACAATATAAATTTGGAAACAGAACGGACATGACGCGTTCTTCCTTGAATCTCAAGCACAAATTATACAAAATAGCATAAAGAGATATACTGTTAAAAATTTCAATAAATCACAAATATCTTTCTCAACGATAAGAAGAAGTTTGCTTCAAGAGCCATCTGAATAAAATAAATTCAGAAACGGAATATGACGGATACGGCGAGTAAGAAAGTGGAGATGACGAGTGGTCCGGGGACATCTGGCGAGGGTGACGCTCTTCCAAAAAAGAAAAAGGCAGCACGTTTCGATCTTGGCAAACGATGGCACAAATTTCGTGTTCTGACGCCGAATTCGGCGATCCTTCGCGGTTCCTACGCGATGAACGATCGCCACTTCAAATATAGAAGCCGCGGTCGTCAAGGAGCTCCGGCATCCATCGTAGCCATCGTCTATGGCCGCTTATTCGAACCAAAAGAATGGGTGAAGGAATACGTGGATCAAATATTAGAATACGGAGACAAAGTGTTTCGTACCAGCGTAATGAGAAATCATGTAAAGGAGAACGAATATATGAAAACCAGCCTGGTCTATCCAGAGTTCTAC